CGCAGCAGCTGATGACTAAAAATTCCTGGAGGAGTTGACAATATGCAAATGAGAGGTCAAGGTTGTGGGAGTCAGAGTTGATGTAATTTTGCATCTTGGCAGCTCTACTGCGGTATGAGTCAAGTTCATTTTTTTTCTCAGTTTTCCCTCCAATCTGGGACTAAAAGAGCGAGTGTTTCCTCTCTCTGCTACATGTTGCTCTTTTAAAGTGTTACCGTTTTCTCTTCTATTTCTTTTAATCTAATTACATGGGGAGGAAATAAGCTGCTATCACTGGCGTAAATGGCTCAGAAAAGGAAAAAGAATACAACACCAAGACTAGCACACACAGTATCAGGTGTTGAGAGTTAATTAGAGCAGTTGGTATTCTGCAAAAACACATGATGCAATTTCTTGTAATATAATTCAATCAACATTTCAGACACATTCAAGTGTAATAGATGTGATTTTAAGGTCACATTTATCACAGTGTATTTATTAAAATATATTCTTTTCATGCCAAGAGGTGCTGCTTGTCAACATGCAAGGCAGGCAACTGCTAGGGGCCCCAGGCCAGTAAGGGGGCCCTGAGGGCTGACAAAGTTTAAACCACAGCAGAGGCTCAAAAGGTGCACATTTTGCAATGACGGTAGGACACCTCCCTAATAGGACATTATCTGACAGCAATCACTGTCATTGCACTGCTAAGCATTGCATGCCTTATTCCTGTGAAAACCAAAGTTTGTCAAAGTCATCAGAGAATAAAGAGGAATTATCCGAGTGAATGAAAGAATGAGGGGAAAAAAAGCAAGACATTGGATCATTACTTAAGTTTCTGACATAATACATCAAAAGATAAGGATAAAGTGCCCCCTCAAAATGCTGATAATGGTTACTTTCATTTATATTATTAAGGTGATGAATGCTGGTTAGAGGGCGCCCTGTTCATTTTTCCTAGGGAATAATCACCACTGTTCCTGCTTTGTTCGTTTGTACTCTATGATATTATATTCTTCAGAGCTGATGTTAGACGTTGCTCTTTGTGACCTTAATTTCAGAATGGCATCCAGTTTTCATACATCTATTAAACTGTAGCTGTTGGTATGTAGCTGCTCTTAAAGTTCATGCTGTTAAATCATCTACTGTGCAATGTATACAATCTTGTATGGCATTGGTCAGTTACACCAATGATCATTTACCATCATTCCTTAATATCCTCCAAGTGCCATCTGCAGTTACTGAAGTTTGCAGGTTTGCAAAATTTTAATGTGACTTGAAAACAGGCTGGTGGTAACGTGGAAAGTACCCATTGACAAGGATTGTCTCTTTCACAATTACATTTTTAGACAGATTTAATATTACACGTTTAACCAACATTTGGTAGTATAAGGAGATACAACACAGACTGGCTTTCTTACTTTACAATTTTTAACATTTGCTAAAGCAACCACTCGCAGCACAGCCATTGCTATAAGGGACTGCTATGAACTGGTATGACTCCTATTATCCTCATAAATCAATTCAAGCATATTTAACATTTCAGTATAGCTTTAAGGTATTTGAGCTTGTAAAAAAGATTGTTTTAATTTGTATGTGTGTATATTTTTGAGTAAGTAGTTTGGCTAATGAAATCTTTACATCATTTGCTAGAAGAAATGTCAGAAATGCCTGCTTTGAAATGTCAAAATGTCTGCAGAGAAAATTGTCTGTTGGACATTAGTAATAACTTATCTGTGAACATAAATATAGAAAAGTAGAAACATGCTTTACATTGTAAGTTAAAAATAGCAATACACACAACAAATGTATCATTCTATATCAGTATTGAAATCACTGTGGATTACTTTTTAAACACAAGTGTCATCATGTCCATTTGAGAGAATATCATTAAGCTCAGGACTAAACATACCTCTCACATTTCCTGTCATCTTCTTTAAAGCACTTTTGGTCTCTTCTGTAGTTCCTTCTTGTCTTCACCACTCCCTCAAAGACCTGCTTTTTTCTTTCTATCTCTGTGCTTCAGAGGGAGTACCGCTGTAAAAAAAAAAAAAAGACAAAATGGTGACACTGACAAATGGACTTACTTTGCCGGGTCCTCTAATCCTAGTTCCAGGTGATTAGTTTCACTGTGTGGCACCAAGGGGACAGCCTGTGGCTAGAATAATCGGCTTTCAATGATCACTTCTATAATCTTTGAAGACAAAATTATTGGTAAAGCTGGTAACTTTTGAGGAAGCACATTTTGATAATCTCAAATCAGCAAAATGGGAAAAGCCATTGCCCGAAACATATGAACGTGCAGGATTAATCCACAACAGAGTGAACAGAGAGGCGTGCAGAGCATCATAAAGCAAAGCGATAAAATAATACATTTTGATAAACATTAAATGTAAAGATAAAATACAATAAAATAATGTTATGATTTAATTAATTTAAAAAATATACGTTTTGGGGCACTGGTGGCGCAGTGGTTAGAGCACACGCCCCATGTATGGAGGCTGTAGTGCGACACAACTGGACTGAAATCAGCAATTCAACATTAGTCGTACAACTCAGAACTCAGGTCTAAATCAGCCTGAAATCATACAGTAAATACCCAGCATCACAAGTACCATCACCCTTTTTATAACTGTGAGTGTCTGCTCCAGAGACACACATGAATCTGTTCTGCTTTGGACTGTACTGACCTGAGGGATCTTTGCTGTTTGGTCAGCAAGTTAAATGTCTGTTTTGTTTTTGTGGAAGAGCCAGACATGGATTCTGCGGCTCAACCAGCTGGATCCCTTCTGCATGAGGCTCCACATGGCATCACCAGTATAATATGTCAGCAGCCATCACGAGTATTTTGGCTTCAATTTTGTGGACGAGATGGTGACGCAGTGTCCACATTGTATACAGTCTATAATCTCAATATGTGTGATTTTAAATTCTAACACAGATTTTTGTAACTTTCAGCCATTTGAAGTAACACAGATGGTCCAAATGAAATGACATAAACACGGGCGTTAAAAGTTTTGGCAGGTGACATGCTGTTGAGGGATTAATTTCTACCACAGTCGTGCAGTTCTTCCCGTGGGTGTTGAATGACTGACAGTAAGTAGAGCATAACTGATCTGAAAACACTCATCTCAGGCACCATGAAATCACAAAAATAGAGAAACTTTGACAAAGTAAAGCGTTCATGTTTAGTGCAAAGGATTATTTTATCTTGTGGAAGTAATCTGCAGGTGCTTTCAAAAGACTTAACATCATAAGGGAAGCATCTCAGACAGTGTGCAGACAATGCCATGAAGTTTCTACACAGTAGTTGGGGAGGAAGAAGACAAATTCTGATTTGGTAACTTAAAATTATCAAAACGTATTGACTATTTCAGTTATTCCCACAGTTAGCTGGTGACAGTTATATTGTTGCCTTTGTGACGGACTTAAGTTAGTATTTGAAAAGTGATCTTTAAAAATGGTTATAGCTATTCCTATCCTCTGAACAAATTCAGTGATTCTTTAAAATGCCATAAAGATCTATTCAGGCAGTTCAAAATGAGGATATATCTGAGGAACATTTGATCTTGTATGTTTGCATTTAGCAATTGAATGCTATTTTCAGCTTTAATGCAGGAAAAACCTTAGATATGTTTTTAATGGTGCAAAATGTGTTGGCTTTATTTTTTTTTTATTCTACCAAGGAATTATCAACAAATTAAGGCATACAATTCTTTTAGCCCTTGGCGTTTAAATCTTAAAATGTGACCCAAAAGAAAGCAAAATATGTTTTGTGGAGAGAAAATAATCTGGAAGAGTAGAAAGAAGTGAGTTTACCAGACCTCTGTAACCCGCTTCCTATTTCATCTTGAGGCTAGCAACTTGAGGCTACCTACATTAGCTGCTGATAGCACAACAGTCCATGAACTTGGTTGAGACAAGTTGCATTGTGGGTAAAGTAGGCACAAAGTTTTTTATAGTAAAGGATGCTTAAATAACAGAGACTACAGCTTGGGTTCTGGTGCATCAGAGTTGGTACAGTCTTGACTGCTCAGCATTACTCTCAGAAATTCATAGACGTGTCATGCTTCATAAAGCATGTATAGCATACTCTAGCATACTGTAGTTGGTGTACTATAAAAACATTCTAAATGTTTTAAAGGGGTTGTGATTGTTTTCATCACATCATACCCACTTCTAGAGAAAAATGTCCACTTTAAAAATAAAAGACAGAGTCAGTAGCTTTTCCCCAAAAATAAAAAGTAAAGCCACTCAATCATCACTTATAGGCCTCCATATATATGTGGTGATGACTGTGTCTGCAGAGTGTCTGTCCTTTGCCTGGATTTTGACTTTTTATTGTGTTTTAGCTGACACAGGATGTTTCTTGGTGGGAGCTGGTGTATTTCCCCCAGCCAATGACAACGTGCAGGCGAGTTTAGGATACAATATGGTGGACATGGATGTAGCAGCAAAGAAGAGAAAATATAATCATAGTGAAGCGAGACGGCACGCGGATAAAAGCTTGTTCCAAAACAAGTTGAACCTTTGTTTACTTTCAGACCTGGATGGGGAGTTGGCCTGCTTTATGTTGGACAGGCAGGTCCCAAACATCATTGGTTAGTTTGAGCTAGCGTATAGTAGTTTGCAGTGTAGGTAAAAGCAGTAAACATACACAGTTTACAGTGAGTGTGCACTTCTGGGGGCAATGAGCCCAGGAGGAGGGGGCTTGAATGTTGTGTTTACAAGCTGAAACAAACAATGCTACTGACTCTACCTTTATATACTGTAAGAGCATTGATTGGTTTTCAGGTTTGCTCTGACACAGCCATTGGATGCAACCACTTTGTCATAATGTGGACAGTTCTACTAACCAAGACTGTTACTCATCAAAGAGACACAACTGCAAACTTTGCAAACAAGCTTCTCCCCAGAAGTAGTTATGCATCCTCTGTATATGGCCCCTTGATCATAATTAAGCTTAAAAAATGGAAAAGGTTAGAGGAACGATTGCTTGAAAGTTGTTCAAAATGAACCAGATGTTTTAACACATTTGCACATACTTTATGCACATTGAAGAAAAGTAGACTTTTGTACAATATCTCACTAAATATATTTACATGACATACAATTCGCCATCAGTGCAATACATAGGAATGTTGCATATTTACCAAATGTTAGACTCTTTCCTTTATGAAGAAAAATAATTCCAATGAGCTGATTTAAATGATGTGTAAAGAAACATGTGCAACTTTCATATTGTTTAACATCTTCACAGGAAATAAAAAAAATAAAGTCTTAGTACCACCCTATCGATAATCAAATATTTAGCATTGAAAAAGTAATTGATCACATGTACATATATAGCTTCATACATGTAATGGATTGCTTTTGTACAAATATTTTATATAACTTTGGCAGTTTATCAGGAACAAAGTTATCGGAAAATATGAAACAATAATATCAAACTGTAAGCAATGTCATGTAAGCTTGCCTTCCAGAGCTCATGTTCACAGTGGTCATTCAGAAAGGCTGGAAGCTGATGGCCCAAAAGAAGGAAAAAAAAAAAAAGCCGAAGAAAAGAAACATTTCCATCCTTTCTGCTTAGACTGTTAGCACTGGAGGCTGTCGTCATTGTTGTCATGGTTATAAAATTACAAACACCTATGAAGGTTTACATAGCAGTCATCGCCATTTAAAAAAACATGGTCTTTTTTTTCAGGTTGACTTAAAATACAAACAGTTTGAAGGCAAGGGGACAGGGCCCTGCTCGGTGGTCACCTTGGAATCATGGGAGAGACATGACCGAGAAGAGGACATGCACAACAGTGCTGTGTGGAAGAACGTGAAGCCAAAAAACGAGGGTGCAAAATGAAAGACTTTGCAACAATCAAAACGCCACACGGTCAGAAAATGACTTACACCGGACAAAATAATCGAGCAAATTTCAAACATACTAAGTTCACCATAATTCATATACGTTGGTTTTGTTCTTTTTTTTCACTGGTTTGGCACTTTATTGGAACAAATCTCTGTTCAAAAAGACTAAATGTTGTACAAAAGGTATTTCATGTCCCCTTAACATAACCTGTAGAATATAGTACTTAATAGTAAGCATACGGTAAGTAAACACTTGTACATACTGTAGTTTTAAAATGAACATTCCAACAGATGTTTTACGCACATGCACAAAAACAAACAAACAAACACAACTCTCTCTCTCTCTGTCTCGCTGCTTTGCCACATGTAGGCCTCCTCCACTTCTCTTTGGACAATCTCTTTCTCTTATCTTCTATCCAGTAAGAACAACTGTTGCTACTGCTCTTTTTTTTATCTCACTTAAGACAACACAACTCTTTTAATACTGCATGTTTGCTTCATATTACGACACTTCCTCGGTCGATCGTGTGTCCGTCTTGAGACGCACAAACTCTTTGGCCACCTCATCATTGGTCCTTTGAGAAAGTATCCTCATGATGGTGAGGCCAGTTTCGTCCATAGAGATGCTCTTCATCAGGGGGTAGCAGGCCGAGCAGCTGCCTGTGTCTGCCAGCTCTCGGAGCTGGATGACTGTCATGCCGATGACGCGGTCCTCCCTGGCGAAGCAGTAGTCCTTAACCGAGACGTGCAGCTCGTAGTACTCAGGGCCATGTTCGTTACTGAGAACACTGGGACAATGAGAGATTAGAAAGGTCAATCTTCAGAGTAAAAACAAAAACAAAAGGTTTTTATTCCACTCGAAATAGTTTCCCTGAATTCTGAACTGTTAATCAGCAGCAATATTAGAAATGGAGGCTTCACCGCATTATTACGGTTGAGATTCATAGAGTAAGTTGTGAGTGACATAAAGGTGTACCAAGCTGGCTTCAGCATACTTTATTTTTGTCGGAAATCACTGTACAAACCAATAGCTTTTGGACACTGACATTTGGCTTTGTATACAGCTGAACACATCATGTCTGTTAGTCGGGGGCTGGAGGGGCATTTCCCTAGAAACAACTGCTTATTATCTCTCTAACCTTTAAGACAATTCTATCAGGTTTTTCTGGTTAACCAAATGTGTATATTAAATCAAGCCATAACCCAGAGAGAGGTTTTTCTAATTATCTTAAGCAACTAAATGGCCTCTCAAAAATCAAATGAGAGTGCCAGCAGCAGCAGCAGCAGCATCTTTATGCACACAGGCCTGCACTGATCACACTGATGCTGCTCCGACTCTAAGATCACTCAAACTCTGTAACTTTAGCTGCCTCTGCTTGGAGAAGAGTGGAGTCAAAGAGGGGACAAGTCTTTAGATTCGCTGAAGCAGTCTCTTGACTACCCTCAGAAGTTTCAATGCAATGAGCAGAAGCACTGTAAAGAAATCGGATTCTATTTAATGCTTAGAACAGTTGGAAGGATTTGGGGGCGTATGGAATAAAAGAGTGTTATGTGGTACTGTATAAAGGTTGCTGCAGGCTCTTTTATAGTGTGCAGATGGCGTAATGAACACTAGGTGAAAGGTACAGCAGCATACAAGGTGCAGCATGCAACACATTATTTTGAAATCCTTACTATCTGTAACTAACACCAATAGAAAAAACAATTACTCACTATTGGAATGTTTCATTGTACTTTGGGGACCAGTTGTTGTTCTTGGTCTTAGTGCTGAATTTGCGTTTCTTGTCAGCCAGATGGGGTCCCACGGCGTTGACCTCTACAAACGGCCGGAACATGGCATTGGTTTGCCAGATGAGGTTGTTGACTGCGACCACTGAGGAATGCAGAGAAAATAAGAATGAGCGTCATCCTAGATAAAGTTTAGAAGAAAGTGCAGAAAAAGAACACTATGCAAACACTGATGTTGAGAACTACTGGTCCATTTCTTTTCTTTTTTAACTTCGGAGCATTTTTATCTTTTTCCCACAGATGACTGGCTAAATGTAGAAAATGTTATATTGTGCAGCGATACTGTCAGAGGAAGTAAAACAGAACTTGATAGCAGAAACATTCCCGCTTATCTGGAAGGTTATTGGTAAACATCTTTGGATATCAGTGCTAGCAAATAAAAACTGCAAGAATTTATTTGAAGAAGATTTTAAAGAGGCATAACTCTACATGAGGGAGAGACAGCGACACTTATTGGACGTGTCTCTGACTGACCACAGCACAGTTTCAGAAATGTAGAAAATCACTCACAGAAATTTTTAATAGAAACCTCCATATATGGTCAGTGTTGGGATTAACTGTAATGCCACTACTATTAACTAGTATCGTATTTAGTGACTTTGTAGATTTAATAACGCTGTTACAATCACTGACATTTAAAAGTGACTTGTTACTTTATGAAACAGCTGGGAACAAGCAGGCGAGGAGACGCTAACGTCAGCGCAGTAGCATCCAGGGAGAAAGAAAGTTGCGCGCAGTCAACAAACGCAGTCAGGTGATCATTCAGCCGTGAGCTGATACTGATATTATTTTTACCTGCTCCAGTTAATGTCTCAAGGATAATAGCAGTGAGTTTTAGGCTAGTCCCTGTGTAGGAAGGAAAACTTATCTCATAAGAACGAAACACCAAGCCAAACAACAACACACGTCTAGAGAACGCAGTGCTGAAGACATCGGAGACCCAGGTGTGGCTCATGTTAGCTCAGCAGACCAAGTAGGAGACACTCCATACAAACAGCCGGATTGATTTAAATCACTGCCTACTTTGACTTTACCAAATTAGCCACAGCCGCCCGACTATAGACTCTGTCAGTCTATAGGTAGGCATATTGTCAGCGACATGCTTCATATCAACTGTTGAATCTTTTGCCTTTAGAGATCTATTTAGTAAAATACCTTCAAATTCAAAATGACTACAGTGTTTTTTTAATGTGCGAGATGTCACAGCACAATTCTGCCACAACATCAGTAAATCATGTGAACATTAAAGGTCCCATATTATGCTTTTTCTGGTTTTATATGCTCTTTAGTGTGTTTTCCAAGTGTCCTGTGCATGTTTAGGCACATCTATTTGCAGAAATTCAAAGTCCGCGGAAACGCGGCTTCTCCTACGTCCTCATGTTAGCTGTAGCATTAGCTGCACGTAACGCTCGGTTCTAGCCCCTCTCGATAAAAAATTGTCAGTCCGACATCATTGTCAGTGTGAGATCACTGATCTAAGCCCATTGGCTCGTTGTGGCAAGCCCAGCAGCTCATGTCGCTCATTAACCTTTGTAGCACGCCCACGATATGCCGTAGCCTGCGGTAGCACAGTAGTGCTAAGGTGCTAATGTTTATGCTCCCCTCGGACAGAGCCAGTGGCTGCATTCCCAATATGGTAAAAGAGGCGGGACATTTCAGAGAACCGCGCTGAGCAACTGACCAATAACGACAGAGCGGATCGGCAGACCAATCAGAGCAGACTTGGCCCACGTGGGGTCTAACAGTGTGGGCTCAACAGAGTGTAGCTGACGGACTCAGAGTATAGAGGGAGCAAGGGGGAGCAGTTCATGAAAACAGACACTTTTTTCGGACTTTAGCTGTTGTGAACGTACAAAAGTAGGTACATAGATTAAATATACAAACCCCAAAAAGGGCAGAATATGGGCTCTTTAATACGAGGATTGAAGCTAACAGAGTAATGCTGAAGTTACTTTACCAACTAACTAGTTGCTTTTATAATGCAGTAACTCAGTTAGTAACTCAGTTACTTTTTGATAGTAGTAACTGGTAACTAGTCACTCATTATCAATAACGTGGCCAACATTTCATATGTAACCTGACTGGACATCACACAGTCATGTTATTGATCTGGGCTGATTTGGAGCTGTAACACCGCAGTTTGGGGTATAAAGTAAATGAAGATCAACAAGTGTAGGATTATAAAAATTCACTTAAGTTATATAAAGTAATGACATCAGAATCAGCATAATTTCTTCTGCAAGAAGCAGAATAAAGTATTAAATAAGGAAATACATTGACACTAGCGGTTTAACTAAAATGGTACTCTGACCTGCTGGAGGACTTATTTTATTTCACCATGATTATCTTTACAAAAGCCCATGCCAACCAACAAACTAGCTATGGTTTTCTGTGTATTACCTTAAATTAAGCCTCAGTCTCTCTGATGCACATTTTCTTTTTTGTCTCCAAAGGTAGCACCAAAACCAAACAATCCTAATGATTTGTTCCCAGCGTCATTATTGCTCAGATGTGAAGAGCTGCAAGATCTATCTGATTCTTTTGCAGGTGTGATACAGTTGAATAGGAATAACAAGAAGCACGACTGAGTGGAGGGAAATCTCACCCTTCGCGCTGACTTTGTGCTCTCCGGTACCAGGGTGAGAGATGAGATTCACTTGCATTGACACCTCCCCCACCGACCCGTTGGATGACTGACCTGGACACACACCGAAAACAACAACAGGAGAATTGGAGAGAGGCATAAGGAAAATCACAGAGAATGGAGGAGTGGCAGGGATGGAGTGAAGGAGAGAAATAGAGAGATTAGAAAAAAAGCAAAGAAGAGAGAGTATGAAAGGACCTAATCCAAAACTGTTGGTGCAGCTTTTTTTTTTCTAGATGAGGAATCCAAATATTGATCCGAAGAGCAACACCTTGCTGTGTGTCAAAAAACTAAACACAAGGGGAGGAGACTTGACTTCACCCCAAGCAGTAAGCAAAGTGAGGGTTTCCTTTAGCTTGAGGCTAAACGAGAACAACAAGAAGGAAGAAAGAGAGCAACATGAAATAATCTGCCTGGTTTGAAGGCAAAGGAGGAGGCAGATGGTGCAAAGGGATCCAATAAATCAATAATTTTAACACATTAAAACCATCAAACTGCTCCATCGACAGAAATACAAACAAAACATCAGATTTGACTGTGTGCAGACAAGCGGAGATAAAAACATTGCATCAGAAGGGAAGTACAGAGGGGACGACAGGAAACTAAAACACAGTGTCAAGGAGGAAATGCGCTTTTGGGCATCACACCCTGCACGGTTACGTCAGCACGACGGTTTCAATCACATAGAGACACGTTGTTGCCAGGAAACAATTTGAATTGATTGCTGACCATGTGTCTCATTTGCCTGCTGCAGGGCGTCCTGCCTCTAATCATCATGGCCTTGTGTTTCGCCCAAACGGGTACAAACAGATGTTGAACACTGGAAGGCAGCATGCCGGTGTGGTTAATGGATGGGCATGTTGATCCAATAGATAATCAATACGTGCCAAACATGTCGTGCCCATTATAGCTGGTAATGAAGAAACAAGCCCCCTGATTTATTGTAATGATGCCCTGAGAGGCAGGGGGAGGGACACCAAACACTTCTGCTGCACAATTAAGCCTTGGACTTTGGGGAAATTAACAGAGCAATGCCAGCGCACATTTAGTTCAGCTATAGGCAGGAAATAATGTAATACAAAATAAACAATTTAGCATTCTGGTTGGATTCAGAGGCAAGAAACTGCTAGCACCTTCATGAAATAATAAACATGCTTGCACACAGCAGAGAGAGTAATGGACAGCCTGTTGGACATGTAGGACTTGAGGGGTGAGTAAGATGGATGGTACATATTGAAGATAAAGGAGAGTAGAAATAGATAAAACAAAGGTGACGGTGAGAAGAGTCAGCACTTAGAATGGGAAACAACAAAGAATATAACAGATGAGGGAGGAATGAATTACTGCAGGGTTGCAGCTAAGCTCACTGAAGGTTTCCACTGTGCTCTTTCACATAAAACCACGATTTTACACTTAACCCAAACAAAGAGACAAATAAACAGAAAGCTGTGAAGTATTCACATGTAATTACTGTCAAGGAAGATGCGTTTATTTGTTTTGATACTGTATTTCCATTGAAGCATATAACAGCTGTCCGACCTCAAAAATAAACAGGAAAAGACACTTGGCAGAAATAGACCAGAGCATGCAGTGGTCTAAATGTGTCACTGCCAGAGCACAGGGGGAGGTGATTAATGAAATGGTGTCCTATGTGCTTCATCAAGCGTCAGCACGTCCCCACTCTGTTTACTGACCTGATGCACATCAACCACCTCACTACATCCACTTATACACACCAAGTTGGACCACCTCAGATAGAGAGCGTCAACATGGTGTGAACTCAAGAGGGGGGAAGGGATGCTACGATGGAGAATGAGCAGAAATGCAACAAGCTTTCTGAAAATAGCACACAGTGGAATATTGTGCACCTAAGCCCATCTGCCAGTCAGTGAGAAAAAGAACACTGGTTGGGACTGCTGGCTGCCTGGCTGACTAGCTTTCTCCCATCACCATTCTGTTTCCTGCCGCACTGCCTATGTACCGTTCTACAAGGCTGAACACACTGAGGCAACCAGGAGCTTAAAGCTTCACTGCCCCACAGGACCAAATTCCTTCACGAAATCTCTCCGGACACATGATGTGTCCATCAGTGTGTAAATGATTTTTTCAAGTGGAGACGGATGGATGAGGCAACAGCACATTAAAGTGGGTCGCTGATGACGGAGAGAAAGATGAGAGAGGATGCACGATAGGGAATTTATACATTTACACTGAACATACTGTACATGTATAGATAGCTTTCTATGTATCAAACTTGTTGAATCAGTGCATTCATGTGGTTTTATTTAAAGAGAGAGAGAGAGAGAGCTGCTTCCAAGGTTATGGGCAGAAGGGTCCACAGAACATAACTTAGCACACGTGTGCTTTAGCACCTTTTAAAAGTACGAGAGGTGAATGAGTATAAGGAAAGCAGACTTATGGTATTCCTGCGGTGCAAAGTTAAATGACACAGAGGAATCCCTCTTTATTTCAAGTGTTTAACATGCAACTCACATTTAATTGTCGGCATGGGAAAAAAAAAAAAGGCTATGAAAAATAATTCAAAAATTCGTGGCACACTGAAAATAACTTAACTGTATTCTATTGTGAGTGAACAACGCGTTTCACCTGTAGCTTCCTCAGGTTAACCCAGCCACGTAAAGGCTGTGCCTGTTGGCCATTTACAAAAAAGCATGCTGTTAATGGCCTTGTCTTACACCTACCATGCCACCTACCATTATATTGAAATATTCATTTGTGAAGGTCTTTTTAGCTTTCTTAAGTCAAATAGAGGCGTCGGTGTGGTTACAAGCCTGTAGAAATGTTATGTAAAAATACATTATGAATTTAGTTTACTTCAATATGTTTACTACATTCACAGTGTGTGTGGAGGTGCTACTGTGCTGCACAAAAGCATCCACAATCTGTGCCTTTTCACGCCTTTCTACCCACTTTTACTAGCTACGCTTCTTTTAGAATCACTTGGTCAGTTCTTGCCTTTATAGCACATTGCTTTTATTTAGTCTCAGTCTCTGTACTGAAAAGTAATTGTGCCTGGCCTTATGGAGACAACTTACCTTGAGAGGTTTGGGTGCATATATATTTCTTGATCAAGGCATCTGTAGGTTGAGTGTAAAGGCTGAGAGCATATTTGAGGGACTTCATGTCAGGGCTTTTTTCCAGGAAGGTTTTCTTCAGCCCATTTCCTCCAGCATGGAAGTATTGCTGCAGGACAAAAAGATAGAGCATAGATTTACCATTTCCTGAGGTAGACTGAACTCTTGGAAAAAACTCTCAACATGGTAGCAACGTCTTGATTATATACACAAAAGTAGCTTATGGTGGGCTGAAAGACTAACCTTGGCTTACACTGACAGCGTGCATTTTACAAGGAGGAGCAAACACATACAGAGATCAGACAAGGGGCAGCACTAATAGCCACTTCTGTAGCTAATTAGTATGCATTTAAGTCTGAAACTCGGCTTGGATGGTTAATGCACATTTGTGTTGATAAGCCTGATAGCTGTGGACAGACAAGGCTTTGCTTTCTTTTTAGATGCTGTCACCACTCCCAAAAGTGGAAAGTGGGAGGATAACTACAGAAAGATCTTATTAAGAAAGGAAGCGTTGCTGGAAAAGATGTGAGGATGAATGGAAATGTCTTAACTCTTTTTAGCCTTTATGTTTCTTTGCTTTAAGTTGTTTAGGTTTGCTCTCCTGTGTAATAAATGACCAGATGTGATGAGTGTTGTTGGTGTGTTCGCTGATTTAGTTTATCATGCACGTTGGGTTAAGCAAGTGAAAAACACAAATCTTAAAACCCAGAGGCACTAGACAAAGAAAGTAGATACAAGATTGTTAACAGAAGCTAGGTTACATTTGAGTAATATAGAACGATGCCTCTATAGGGTGCTGATCTGATTTGCCATGTGACTTTGACTCAGCTCAGTAGGAGGCCCTATTTTCTGCTTCACTAACGACTTATGAGTCACAGAATTTGACCAACACGTGCTTCTCATGGACTATACATAATCTGGCACGAGGAGAGTGAGTCATGTGTAGAGTTTATCGAGAGACAGAGAGTAAATCACAGACTCTACATTCAAAATATCATTTTAAAACCATCTTTGATGGTTGATGAATAATGCACTCGAGATTACGCATAGGATAAGTAATGATAAAAATATTCTTTTTGTAAAATTAATTAGTGATAAAGATACAAAATGCAATTATGTAATGGGTTGACTGAAGCTAAACTTTATCAGACCATAATAATAAGAAAATCTACATAATAATCAAAAGAACCTAATATATGTACAAGTTCATACTTTTAGTGTATATTTAATTGTTTGTCTACATGTGTTGTACTTTGAGGTATTTTTAGGGTTATAACTGATTTAAATGTTGTGTTTAGGATTATGCTATTTGAAGAAAAATGTGAATTCTGTTAACCTTTTCATGGTGGCAACAAAACTAAATAATCATTAGGGTTTCAAGAGGGTCCTCGCTCACTCTGAGTGAGTGAGTGCTCGGGCCCTAACAAGGTCTGGGAAGTGTAGGAAGGTGTCGCCACATGGTTGAAGATCCTCAAAGTCTTACGCTGAGCTGTGATGCTTTATTCCATCTGGCAAAAAGAGCAGCCGACCCAGAATCACCTCACATGCTCAAAATACCCCCCTGCTTCTGGCCAAATTACCTGCTAGACTGGTATCTAACATGTCTTCTTCCTTGTCTTATTTCCTCTTTCCCTTCGTACTTTCCTTGTTCCGTTACTTCCTTGATTTTTACATTTTTTGCATGGTCATGTGTTGGTCTTCATGACATTAGTATTTTCTTCGATTACAGTCCATGATTCATTTACTTCCATACAGGTACTTCCATACTGTTTCTACAAAGAGTATAATAACTATATCGGACTATTGGCATTATGGGTAAAATAGATGGATATTGTTCAATAGATTTTTGAAGAAAACTTGGCATCTTCTGTCAAATATGCAACATGTTACATCATACTTCAAATAATGAAGCTGGATTTGTTGGGAGTGTAACAGCTGCATTTCATCCACAATCACTCAGAGGCCAGAGTTCAAAGAAAGGAACAAATGGTGCATTGTTGGCAATAAACTAAATGGACTACATACAATGTTGGTCATATAGCATTCCTCTGTGGATCAGTCCATTTATACATTGTCCTTTCCATTAGTTTCTACAGGTTCAAAGTTCAGTCTGGATAAAAAAAAAAAACACATAGATTTGCTTTGTTATTTCCATACACAGTTTTGTATGGCTTATTTCCTAAATGGACTTGATAATCCTTGCTTGTGCAAATCTGAAGGCCTGTTGGCTTTACTGCCTTTGGTGTTTTTTTTTTTATGTATCTCTCCTATTTTGTCGCTGTTGTTCCTGCTGTATGAAAATTACAACACAACTAACCATCTGCAACTGTCTGCATAGTGTTTCTTTATCGGTTGGTCTAACTCTCCAGAGGAATTACTGAACTGTGTTAATTGACTGTTCTCATTGGAATACTGATGAAAAGAGTTCCAGTGACATGATTGATCAAAACCTGCAGGTAGTTTCCTTGGAGACGGCAGAATCAATTAGTTTTCTCAGCACTTTATGATGCAGTGTTCCCCCAGTGGCACCTCACCATAACTCTCCTCTTGTCCCTGTAGAACTGAGGCTCGGTCTTGAAATTGTCCCATATCCCTTTACAACAAACAGTCGCAGTAAATTAACAGTGCTGCATTTCACACTTTCTTCTGCTGAGAGGCTTTGGGCATCTTTCCATATTCCTGATTATGAATTATCCTTAGATGGTTCTAAACTGGCATTGAGTAATGTGCTTTTAAAGCTTTTAAAAAAATGTTTTTCTTCTCCCAACTACTTAGTGTCTCATCAGGAAACATCAGGGAACAATTCTGCAGTTTGAAGAATATTTCTCTGCATATACAGTCTCCATATATGGTCCACAACATGAAATAAAATATACATATGGGAATATTTTTCCCTTAAGGGTTAAAGCTGTACTGTAAATGCTCCTTTTCCTATATGTGAATATCTGGCATAAACATTTCTGCTCTCCCTTTTAGCTTACCCCATACATATGCTTGGACATCTGCTTTCATCAGCCCATATGCTGTAAATAGAAGATAACATTTCTTCCCATAAACTCTCAAAGCTCATGAGGTGAGCCACAACCTGCCAGTTAACAGTGAGTTTGATTTTTGATCCTTAATCGCTTTTACCGGACACCCCGAGGTTACATCACTAGGGCCATAAACACACATCAGACTGCTGGAAATGTCAGAATTCAGAAGGCTCATTATTGGACGGCCCCTGGCAATGCCCCAAGATGAGAAACTCTTGGGAACAAATCAACATCTGTGAAAAGGGATTAGAAGGGACAATTTTGAATTCTCTCCCAGGTTATATGTATGGATGACCCATCAATAGTAAAAGACTGGAAATGCAGAACTGATCCAAATGGCCAAAATGGTGTATAGACATATTTTATTGACGGGGTGGAGAGAGACAGAAGCCCCCTCTTACAGGGAGTCATTCAAAGAATTTGAAAGGTTGGCCTCATATGTAATAAGAAAAAGGCTATGAAATTGTAAACAAAACAAAAACAGTGTTTGTAAATCACAATTCTTATTCAAGCTGATTTGCCTAACTGTGCTCTACTGTGCCTTATGTATGTATGTTAGTGTGCTTTTCAAAGGTTACGTTTAGCAATCCAGGTGACTCTTAAAGTAGAGTCAACAATATGATGGACACAAAACTCACCTTGATGGTGGGAAGCACGAGGTCCATGGCTGCACATTGTCGTGGAGTCAGACTTCTGGCTTCCTCTCGAATGACATGTTCCTGAAAGGAAATCAAATTTTGTCAAACAGGAACATGATAGTTTTAGATGCCTAAAAAATGTAATGACACCTTTCTAGAAGAATAGAAATGACCCTCAGTGGTCCAAGATTAACTGATGATAAAATACTATCAGTTGGTTTCTTTAAAAACTGCAGTGGCTGAAACATCTTTCCCTTATAAGGCATAGACAAACTGCAGTGCTGAAAACAGCTTAGAAAAAAATGAAATAACCGGTGTAAACAGGGCGGCAAACATTGAGTACACAAGTTTGCGGACTTCTACATGAGCTTTATGTGGGTTACTGAGACTAAATCAACACGTTCACAAAATAAGAGGGATGAGCAGCACTGTAAAAAAATCTACATCCTGTGCCTTAAAATTAGATTCAGCGATGAAACATACATTTACATATTTTAGATTCAGAATGTGATACAGATTTTATCTTCAATGAGTCTGTTCTACACAGATTGTAAAGAGCTGGGGTTGGACTTCAAAACAGCCACTTCAATCGACACCTGCAGTAAGACATTGTCTGTTTGGAAGCCATGATTACACTGAGCCCACTTGATTTGTATTGACTCAGTTCCAGTTCATCTGTCCATGCCACAAAAACAATGTCATGGTGAGCCTCAAACAACTAAAGCCTGCAAGCTGGAAGAAATATTTCTCTCTGGTGATGGATACAAATGGATTCTATGTTGGTTATCTGATTAAAAAAAGACCCCTTCTTTAGATTGATAACACAATATTGTTCAATAGAATTATGGCCTTTATTCCTAACAATATAACGATATCTTCCGCTGAAAAAACACGTGTTAAGGCAAACAAGTCCATCCTAGATATGTGAATGGGATTTGTGCTGGTCAAGGGATGGATGGTCAGACCTGCTCATGCAAACTGCGTTTTTTAGGGAAAAAAAAAATGAGCCTAAGGTGACTCAGGCCCATTAATCCGAGCCATTTTGAGTGGTCACAGGTCGTAGCATTAAGGCTACATAGAAATGTTAGTCCCTTTCTAAAATGTTATATTTAACTAGTAGATCATGTTACTAATTAACCAACTATGATAGTCAAATTGATTTGAGCTATAAACACACACATCCGAGAAAAGTATTTCAGTAAAGTGATCTGAAGATTATGAGTCGTAATGGCAAGTGGATAATAAACGAAATCAATTATTTGGGATGAGACATTCACACATACAATAGCCAGAAGTTCCCTCAAATAATCCCCCACACAACACAATGTAATAACACACCAACATAAAAACACACATATACATTCACTTAGCATCCCCATAGGACTAAGAGCTAAAGTACGCCTCTGAGGTACTGTCATACCACAGTTGTAAGTGAAACCACAGAATAATTGATCCATTCCAGTGCCTCTCTAACTCAGGGCTGGAAAGATTAAACATCCTCTGCTAACAGTCTGGCTAGAGCTTCACTGAGTTACACTGCACTACTCTGCAATGCAATGCAAAAGGCTTTGGTAGTAGTAAAAGATGCACTCTTATGACAAAATCCATCCACCCAAATCTTTATATAAAGTACTCTATTAGGCTCTCACTGATATATGTATTGGTATATTTTCATCCATACTACATGTAGTTTAAATGATGTGAGAAACAATGAACATCTGTTTTATATTTACAGTACAATGTTTTTTTAGTACAGATTGTATTTAAATATCTGAATATCTGCCTAACTTAAAAAAGGCTTTTAAAGATATGTTCACGGGTTGTAGTGAGTTTCATATGATGCATTACATCTAAGTATATCTGTATTATGTAAAATAGACAATACAGAACATAATCCATGTTGACTAAGTACAGATGTCAGTGTGTGTGTAGGCATTATGCATGTTTTACTGAGATGACAACACGCCTGTTAAGCTCAGTGAAATCCCTTTGGACTCAGACATTATAGGCTTCTGACAGTATAGGTTTTGTGAGCAGAGATTAGCAGCGCCTACCTAAAATTTACCACAACATTACCTTGAGTTTTGACAGCTGTCCCAAGTCCTTGGCAGCATTAAATATCATCTGAGCTCCTTGCTGTTGGACAGACACATCATGTTAGTCAAAAGGAAAAAATAACCAACAACAAAAAAATTGAAATTTCCAAAAAGATGAAATTGTAAAAGGATTCTACAAAGAAAACTAAGCAACAGGAGATGACATCGTAAATAATCTTTACTGTAATTGTGTCTTTAAGCTGCAGTTTTTTTAGGAAACTCCAAATGACAGGGGATGGAAAATGATTGAGAACTGTGTTACATGATCAAATTAAACTACACTTTTATGCCTCCCTCGACAAAAAAAAATTATATATATATATATATATATATATATATATATATATATTCTTATATATATTATATATTCTTATGTAAAATGTTTATGTAAAACATCATTCTGCTTCTTTCTCTCTTAAGGATTAACAGTCTCAAAACATTCACACCACGTGTGTGTGAGGATTTAGGGATGCCATGTTGTTTCATCTCCTGTACAGTAATTTGTGCGTTGTGAGGGAGCAGGAGAGAGAGAGAGAGAGAGAGAGAGAGAGAGAGAGAGAGAGTTGAACAGATGGAGGGAATGAGAGAGAAACAGGTGGAGAAGAGGAGGGTGGTGTAGGGCAGTCCAAAAGATGAAAAGAGTAACAGAAAAGGGAAAGGGACAGATAATTAATCAAACTCACACTCTGGTCATTCAGTGGAGGCAGAACAATTGTTCTCTCGATGGTATTCAGCACAATTTTCCAAAGCTCTTTGAGGACTCGTTTCAGCACAGTCTTCTCACAAATCTTGGCAAATAACATCAAACTGCAAAGCAGCAAAAGAAGAACATACGTCAGGTCAACAGTCAAACGCAAGCGTCTCAAGGTGAGCCAACCCAACCAGAGGCTCCAATTTATGGTGCCTTAACAAATACCATGATTAAATACAGAAAAACACCTGTGATTCATAGAATGAATGCAGCAGCTTTATACTTTAATCTCAGCCCATTGTGCGAGCGGGGTCTCAGAGACAGGAGGAAGGATTTGGTATTTCCATATCATTAAGAGGATTCCCTTTAATACCACATTGGCCTGAATGTTTCTTTGACAAATGGTGGAGAGCAATTCCCATAGCTCAGCTGAACCATAATATCATCTTTTCAGTTCTCCAAGAATGCCTCAGAAGTAAAAAACAAAACAAAAAAAACAGTCTCTAGGTTACACGAATCGACATTCACAGCAAACACAGGGCTATTCCTTCCCCAAATAAATGCATTAAATATAAAAACAATAATTAATCTGCTGCTTTGTCATGTTGGGAATTTCTCTCGTATTTATTTAAAACTTGAACTAGGACGAGAAGCAGAAATGAAATAAAACACAAAAATGTTTGGCTCTGTATAAAGCAGCTTACTTTCCCATTCATAAAGCTACCTTATATTTCACAGGGCTAAAACAACCCTGAGATATAAATTAGAATGAGTGCAATCTATGAACATCTTCTAATGAGAAAAGTTAGAGAAACTGATGTTTTATGTTGCATTCATTATATTGAGAACAATAGTTGCAACTGAACTTTCGTAGGTAAATAAATATGCTATTGAACCTCCAATGAAACCTTGCTTCCCCTCTGTGTGTAACACCTGTTAATTTAACTCAAATAATTACCGGTACACCTTGAGAGTTGGATAAATACAAGAGCTCTCTGTATGAATGGACCAGGGATAGGAAGTAATGCAGGACTAGCTTTAGTTGATAAAGCAAGTTCTTGTGCTCGAATCGGATATTCGTGGCTATCTCTACGAACCCAATATAGCGGCGAGGCAGCTGCCGACAGGCGGGTGTTATGCCTCGGCTGCTGTGAGGACGAGGAGCCTGATTCACAAAATTTTGATATACCAGTAACCAACATGAATTTAGCAGCAGTAAAGCAGTAGTGCAAAGACAGTGACGAGTGTTAATAATGGTTAAGTGATGCTGTTCCTGTCCCATCTGCCTTTTGTTAAAATAAACCCTTGCAGGTGAAATCCACTTCAGACATTAGAAGAAGTTTTGACCTTAAGACCAAACCTCTCACCTTGATGGTAATGGACCAGCTAAGCCTATTGACTCTTAAAATGGTATGAATTTCAATGGGATGGCCATTATTATAGAAAGGTCAACCACTGTCCAAAAAAAAAGAATGTTTAATTCTGACCTTGCATTCAGTTTATACCCACTTTTTATCCAGAAGGTCCATAAGAGGCCGGAGGACGGACTCAGCGTCCATGGCAGCGTTGCTTCCTTTGGCCGGGCCTTTCATCTGAACCAGCTCCTGGTTCATCTGCTTCACACAGTCCTCGATCACAGGTTTGAAACTGTTGAATGACATAAAGTCCTTTAAATGCTTTGTTCCTGGTTGCATTTTTGAGGCAAAAAGGCAAGTTTAAGGCGGTGCAAGCTCACTCATGCTTCTCCTGTTAGATTATTGAAAAGTTGTTCAGAGCAAGACGCTGAAATGTTTAACAACTTACTGCACTCACTGAGCATAGAGCACAGCCCAGGCTTGAGTCAATTATAATCTGAGCAAAATACATGTCTGTCAATAATTCAGAAGTCTTGTGATTCAAGCTCCCTAACAGAAAACGAGTAGAGAAGTTTACCTTAATGAAAATGATCTCATACAAACACATGCACATATACACATGGTCAGTCACATTCATGCTTACCTGGAGCCAAACACTCCACTGAGTTCATCCAGCACGGTGTTGAGTTTATTCTGCAGCTCTTTTAGCAGTTCACTGGCCTCTGCATCCAGCTGTCAGATGGAGACAGACAGTTACTACATCATTACACTCCATACAAAAGCCCACACTGACTCATTCTCTGCCTCAACTGGGGTGGGTGTGTTAAGGGGGGGAAGACGACAGGTCCAGAGGAGAGGTAACCTGCCTCGCTTGTGGCCTCCCACTCGTTCTGCCTGCCATCTGTGCCGAGCCAAACTCTGAATACAAATGGACGGCTCACCTTCGAGCGCTGTAATGATGACTGCTTGCCGAGTCATGAGACATGATGTCAGCAAAGGAGCAGCCAGCTAGGGGGGGGGTCTCTCAAAAGAGAACATTTCTGTGCAGCACTTCACAAGTTACAGAAGACAGGGTATGCTGTCAGGCAGCTGTGACACTGTAACATCTCAGGGGAATAACGCTTACCGTCATTTATACATAAAACCAAGTTTCTACAGCTGTTCTGACTCAAGGACTGCAATCTTCTGAGTGACTTTTATGTTCAGGGAGGAAGTTACTGATGCAGTGGAATAGTTCCGTTTTCTTTGTTTAACTGCAAAATTCACTCGATTTTGCAACTTTTTCAAAATAGTTTACAATTCAGGGAATGCTGGTTAGCCACTGTAGAGTAATATCAGTGTCCATACTCTGCTAAAAGACTCATAAATTAAGAGTTAAGGTGCCTTAATATCACAGAATAAAATAGTGCATTACTGATTAAAGGGAGAATTGTGTAACATTACAGTATTTACAGAATTATATATTAACCAACTAGACCTGACCCTCTTTTTTTAAACAATTTTAAAACTAACCATACGAAAAAAAATTCTTCAAAATCGATTCACAGTATGTATGAGCCCATGCATGGCATGTGTTGGGTAGCTGCAGCTTCTTCTTAAATGCATGTGCATGTGATGGTTGCGCAAATGTTTGTGTGTGTCTGTGGTTTTTGGCAGAGCCTCAATAAAATGCATGAGTAGATATCATGTAACTGTGCAGTACTGCACATTTTAGTCTGTTTGTGTGAAAGTCACTGCATGTATCAGTACATCTGTTAGCCTGTGTTGTATAAATGTGTAATATTGATGTAAAGGATGGAGTGGAGAACGCAAGTCTCTGAGGCTCAGTGCCTGAGATGAATGTGTGAGGCCAGGCACCGCATCACATGCAGAACAGATCGTCACATTAGGCCTGATAAGCTTAGCCATGGAGCAGCTCATCTCACACATTCTAATGGTGGATGGCTCAGCTGGGAAGCGGATGTGTAAACCAAACCTTTTATAGACATTTTTATTTCACCACATGCCTCTATCTGAAGCACGGACGGAAAAGATTTATATTTATGTGCATATATGTTCCCATGCACACATGGTCATACCGTTGTCATATCATAAAATGTATTTCTGTCACAGAGAAAATTACCAAGACGTTGGATGTGTATATTTACTATTTAAGGAATATAAAAAAGTGTTTTTAAGTGATAGCAGATAAAAACTGTAGGCCATAGTAAATAATCAGCTATTGGCCTGAGGAAAGTCTCAGACTGGCCTTTTATCTGCAGCCTTGTAGTCACTGGAATTCAGATATTCTTTTTTTTCCTTTTTTTTTCCAAGAACACCAAATTGATGAAAATACAGGAGGAGAAATCCCCCAGCTGTTAGATAAACCAAGACACCTGTCACCTCCTGAGGGGAGAAATTTCCTTTCTTACTCTGTGTGGTTTCTGGTGCTCTAGTCAAATGTCAACCTAAAGAACCGCAATTCTGTCAGAAAGGCCTCTGTTCAAGTCAAGACAAGTCAATTATTTCCAATAGTGTCAAATCACAAGTTACCCTATGACAATTCCATATAGAGTCAATCTTGATCATACGCTTCTCTTTGAAAATATAAAGGGTGCCAAAGGTATTTGAATTGCTAAGTGAAGCAGTCCTATAGTCTGAAAAGATCAGAGATTTGTTTATGAAATGACAGATTAAGGATGAGATCTTGGATAAGTAGGGAACAGGATATACTATCAATAATAAGAAGACTATCATACTATCAATTAAAACAAGAGTAATTTATGTTGATAGATTTTTAAGGTACTATGAATAGATCTGCCATCTTTTGCTCTTCAGTTACACTTTTATAAACGTATTCTAATGTCAATATTTCACCAAGTTATTGGAAATGTTTTTACCATGGGATTAATTTAATACCAAAAGGAAATATTCATTTTGGAATCTATGGAGCATCTGACTCCTCTGTGGTGGTTGTTTAACTTGACACTGACAGACATCAGGACTCCTCTAGAGTATACAAACTCTCCCCTGGCTGACAGCCTATCAACAGCAGCCCAGCTCTGTCTCCCTGTTTCAACAAACAATATCTGTTCACTAGCAGGTTGTTTTTCCAAATCATAGTTTGTCCTAAATGGTGCCAAGTAAATAAAGGTTTAACAAACCACCATCTCTAAAGGGAGAAAACCAAATAAGCAAACAGTGTGCCACTCAAAACAAAGCCTGATAACAATCTGGGGAGATCAGGACATGATGAGTCCATAAATGTGGCTACTGTAAGAGATTATTGCTAATCTCTGATATTGGTATTTCTATGATAACAGTTCTTGGTAATTGGCTCTCCGGGAGTTAATTCGTGATAGGGAGCTATTCTGTAATGAATATGTCACTGAGGCAAACAATGGAAAACTTTCACCAGAGCTACACATTGGCTATATGAAAAGTGTTCAGGAGAAATTACATGAAGTCCTTAAAGATCAACTAAACTGCCAATTTAACATGAGTTTACATGAATTTACTTTGTGAAAGAAATAAAGACTTCTGGTTTCATTAGTCTTCAGGGGACTCCTGGAGGAGGCCGGTCTGGGAGTGCAATAGGTCTAGAGCTACTAACGATGAAATCGTTGCAGAACCTTGTCTGATGGCACAGCTGGAGAGATTTGTAAGTTTTTGAGAAGCTCATTAAACAAAGCGGGAAATCCTGTCTAAAGCTTTTTGTGGCTGCAGCCTGGGGAAAAGATAGAAATGATCAAAACCACAGCCCACACCCCAACTTTGAGACTTTGAATCCACGCTTTGCGTCGGGGAAAAGAGCGGGGACAACAAACCAAAATAAAAATACAATTTCTAATTTAGCCATGAAAAGAGACATGGCAGACAGAAAAATAGCAAGCTAAAAATAAAGATGAGATCGGGTGGGTTGAGCCACTATCCCCAGAGCACCAGGGATGGTGAGCTTGAGCAGCCTGTCCAGAGGCGTGATGGGTAATTCAGATTCCGTATGCTCTGTGGCACATGCTGCTGGAGGGGTTTGGCGTAGGGGTGAGAAGCGTAGGAGCGTGAGGGGTGGAGGGGAGCCACAGGGGGGAGGGGCGTGCTTTTTTTGTACTATTGGGTAAATGGTGGGAAGGGGTGTTGACGAGTCCTATTGCACAGACCTTACAGAAGGACACAACCCCCTCCTCCTGGAGACAGAGAGAGAGAGCACAGAAAGGAAACGGGGGGGAAACAGAAGACACGACGACAGGAGACAAAATGCAAGGCAAGACAGGTGTTAGATACTGGAGAGAAACATGCAAGTAAGTCACGAGAAGCAGTTGTGGCTGCTTCTCAGGTTAGACTGACAGACTCAAAGGTAGAGAGAAAAATATTTAACTATGTTTTAAACCAAACACACAAATCTAAAGGGTTTCAACTCAATATCTACAAAAAGGGGCAACACACAGGGGGGGTTATTGGTGGGGAAATAGTGATGGTGAAGGAAGAAGTTATTGAGGAACTGTAGTAGAAAAGATGGTATTAGAAAACTGACCTACGTGTCAGATTAGTCTATTAGATGCTTAAAAACAGGACTGAAGGAAACATTACAACACTTCAGTGTCGGGGTCATTTCACTTTCACTTCATACACATGTCATCACCGGATCATGACACAGCATTTATCTCACAGCAGAGGGCTGGTCTGATGAGGGAGGTTAAGCCTCCTTACTAACTAGTGTCAACCCTGCTGAGGTGTCCTTTGGCAAGACCCTGAAGTCATCAAGGCTAGCTTTGTGAATTAATGTTTCCGCTGTAGACTGCAGAGCAATGTAGTATTGCATTGCAGAAATCCTGATTTTAAATTCTAAAACGACATATTCTTAGTTGAGTGGAAAATGAATTGCCCCAACTCTTCAAACAGACATAGCAGACAGAAACACTGAGGTAGGCACAGACCTGTTTGCCGCCCATGGACTCGAACATCTTCTCCAGTTGGACTCGGAGCTGCTGGATGTTGTTTAGGATGATGCATGGCTGCAAAAAGCACAGCAATGTTTAAACCTTGATTGTTTTGATAAGTACAGGGTATGATTGTGGTTGTCATCGGGACAACAGATATTTGACATCTTACATCGTTTACGGTTATTGAGACTGTGTTATTACAGTTGTTTAGCTTGAGAATAAACCCACATAATAGAAAACCCACTGCAAAACATCAAACAAGTAAAAAGGAGTCAGATCCATCAGTTTTGATATCATGACACACCATTTATACAGAGATGCAAGGTTTCTGACAGCAGGGAACCACAATACATAATCCAACAGGGAGAGAAATGTCTGCACTGAATATGTCAGGCGTTATCGATTCTCAAGCTCTACAACACGTTTAACAGATGACAAACATTAATCACACAGCGTTTCATGGACACTGAGTAATGCTTCAGAGTTTTCATTCAGTCACATATCATGAACATGATCTGCCCCAAAAAAAACCTCTGACAAACATACAACACAAAAAAATATGATGCTGGTGATGGATGTTACTAGAATGATAATTCCACACCCCACAGGAGACGGATGATTGGTTGCTTTCAGATCACGGAGCGGGCCAATAGAGTCTCTGCGGCAGCACATAATGGCTCACTCTCCACTAGATTTATGAGTATATTTGTACGGGAGTGATTAGATTTTCTAAATCAGAATAAAAACAGCTACATTATCGTAGCCTCAGAGAGGACATGTTATACCCTTTCTACCTTTTCAAATTTTCTAAATGAAACAACTGTGCTGTGCTTTGGTCAAAATACAACATAAATCAAGCACCAGAGGAGGTTTGTGACCCTGTTTAAACCAGCTCTTTCAGAACGCTCCGTTTTGGTGTCTGTGTCTCTTTAAATGCAATGAGACCCCCCTGAGTTTTCCCAGTAGACGTCACTCCTCTGTTGCGATAATAAAAATGGTGGACCAGCGCAAAAGCTTTGTTCTAGGCTGGGGGTGGAGTCTGTGGGTGGAGATATCAGGGGAGGGTAGGGGATTTTTATTTACCAGAATCCCACTGTGACATCACAAGTTGAGCAAATTGGAAACAGAGTACTTTTCTCTGAGTTGTAAGACTTATGCAGACCACAAAGAAAGGACAGGATGGGTTTATTTCACATTTTGTGGGTCGGTAGACTCTCAGGTTACCCAAATATATGTTCAAATACATGGTAAAAGAGGATTTTTCATAATATGTCCCCTTTAAAGGCTCAGATGCCCCAAAGGCTGTAAACCAATTAAAGGTCCTCATCTTCAACATTGGCCTTAAATATAGAGAGTATGTTCTTGGTTAAAGATTTCTATGAAGTAGGTCATATAGTGTATGTGACAGTCTTACAAAATAGATATTAGGTCAAACTGATGTGCTCCTCTGTCTGTAAAACTCCATCTGCCTCTTAAATCATTATTTTCATAATCTGTCTGTCAGTCCTGTCTGGAAGAGGGACGTTTCACATGCTTTTTTTCTGAGTTTATTGTAATGAGGCTGTCAACTCTGTAAAGAAACATCTGCCTCCTCCAGGAGTTCCCTCCGTGTTATCTCTCACTTCAACTTCAAAGACCAGTGTGGCTAATTAGGCCACTCGGAAGGCTCTGCATTTAGTAATCCGTCACATTTAACAATGGACAGAGAGAGCAGAAAATACCACTGACTTCTCACTATCAGCTATAGGCTGTGAGACGCATAATTGCATTTCAGTTAATAGAGACAATTTGTTGAGAGCATTATAGAAGACAGGGCAAGGCTAAGAATAGAAGTGATTGGGCTGAAGTGTGTAACATTTTCCTCCTGGTCTCCATGAAAACTGCTGTTATTAACATCATGGAAACACTATCGCCTGACGTACCATATTTGTATTTTGACCTACAGTAACTTTTACAGTGACAGACACTTACCACATTTCTCCTTACTCAGATGCAAAGGGAAGTCCTTCGATATGATTGCAGCATACTGCAGAAGAACTTTGTTGATAGTCTGTGGAGAGAGAGACGTTTTTTTGATTATTGTTTGCTGTTTTATTATTAAATGGGTCTCACTGACTCAAAACAGCCTCCTGAGATAATATCAAACAGAATAACTATATCATTCTCTCTTTAGATCAATGGTAAACTCTTTAACTGTGACTTATATGTCCCCACAGGGGTATTCAGGGTTCAACGGGTGGGCTTTCTAAAGAGCCTGACCTTCGCAAAGCGGCACATGAAGTGAGCCAGAGCCTGTGGGTTGGGACACTCCAGCTTCTTGATTATCTCAAAACTCTGGTTTAGTTGAGTGAAGACATCCACCACTGAACAGGAAAACAGAGCGTGCTCTGAGGTTTGCTGGAACTGTTGCAGGACAGAGAGGGGAAGAGAGGAACATGAGTGTTGAGAGGTGAGGAAGGAAAAGAGAAAAGGAGACACATGTAGAATCTCAGGTCCTAAGACCTTTGAACACCTCATAGTAGTATAATATCATTAATGACAGAGAAGACCGAACTAATGAACCAGTTACTGTCCAACCACATCACTCAAAGCAGGAATCCAGACTTTACTGCCAAACAACATTAGCAAGGAAATACTAAATCATTTATGCATAAATGCTCAGTATAGCGACAGTTGTGCACTAATAGCACGGCACTTTAATGTGGACTAAAATTAATTCCTGAATAGATGCATTGAAGATGTTTTTTGTCAGTCCAAGTGAGTGGTTATTATGAATAAACTATCCTATACTCACTCCGTCCTTTTTATCCCTTTCCAGTGCTCCATTGAGGAAATCCATTGCAACGTCCTCGTTCTCATCAAGCCACTGAATGACAAAGGGCTCGAACCACCTAAAAAACAAAGACTTAGATTATTGAAGAGTAGGAGTTGTAGTTTTGATCCAGAATTAAAGTCAAACATTTAAAGCTGTGCTATTGCCTTTTTTTAGTGGAGTATTATAAGGAGTAGTCTGTCCTGTCACTTTATGTACAGAAATATGGTATATGTTTTGATTATATAATAATATAATAAGCGTGATTGTCATTGTAATATCTCTCATCTCTTTCTGTCATGTCAGAGAATATAGGAGCAGTAAACAAGGCCTTAAAGGCAGGATTGGTAATTTTCTCCAGATACACTTTTTAAGATTTTGGTTGAAATGTTCTTTAGGTCCTGACAGAAATGAATAACTCTCTGAAAAAAGAACAAAGAAAATCTGTCATCTTTAGCCGTTGTAAGTGTGTAAAAACTTCGACCAATGTCTGCCACGAGGTATCAATCTGATGAACCAATCAAGCCTCCCTGTCTCCCTGCTCGCTCTCTACCTCATGCACGCACAAGCCCACACTCAAAGCATGAGCTGAGCTCCGCTTCTGGACCAATGGCGCTTGTGCATGTAAGTGGGGTGCGTGACTTTTTAATGAGCACAGAGGGGAGGGGGTGGGTGCAGACAGAGCACTGAGGGAATGCTACTTTCAAAATCATGCTAGTTTTCGAAAAACTACCAACCCTGCCTTTAAGGAATACAGGGCCTGACTTACTAAAGGTTTGTGTGTCTTAAAACGTGTGCACTGCAAACTTGATACCACCAGCAAAAAAAAGTGCTATCTGATCTACTAGCGCAGTGAGGATTGCGTCTTTCATATGAGCAAAACAACACGCATTGTCCATTTAGTAAGTTTGCCTTTATGAATATGCAATATGGGGCGTTTCTGCCCTAGCGTGCAATATACTGGGGAGAAGAAAATGCAAACAACTTAAGTTAGTACACGCATTGCAATTTACCAAGCCTGGCAAAAATTGCGGTGATTGTGACGGTGTCTGAATTTAACACCTTTGAAAAGTACATGCTCACCCAGGATACCAGTGTTACGCACAACAGACTGCTGTTATTGAAGTTAGGAGGTATAAGCACAATCAAAGAAGGCATACAGATCGCGTTATTCCCCAAGTATGTTAATATGTTTGGAATGACAACAGGAAGCACCATGATTAAACTACAGGCTATTGTTGCCTATTTTTAGCACATTCACAGCCTCTGCATTCTATAGAATTTGAACATTGACATTTATTTCTTCCTATTTCCCTGATTTCGCAAAAATCTCTCCCCGTCTCTCCTCCAGCTCATGCCCTCTGGTGCGCTCCTCTCCATAGTGTGCACGTCTCCTCCCTCTACAGCCTGCTGCTGCTACTCTTGGATGGGGGGACCTCACCACTGCTTGTACCCCCGTCTTCGATACCTCTTGCCAGAGCATTTATGTCCGATCAGACACAGCACTGGCCACCTGTCTTGTGCGCAACAATGTGCCGAGTGTCGCTCCTGAGCGCCCATGCCACAGAGGACACAGCTCGTACCTCCTGCGCAAAGTATGACAATTCATCTTCAAAAGGTGGAGGTAAAAATATGTAATATTCAGTTTTATCTGCTATAACTCGAACATATTATATGTTTATTTGCCTCTTCCACTAATACCTATTTGCACTTTCTGTCATCCTGTTTTCCGTCCAAACTCTCCATGACTTAAACCAGTAGAACACGCAAAAGCCTAACTTAAATAGTACCGCCTCCAGGTTTGCACCTGGTGTCATTCACGCAAATTTTCGTAGTAGACCACCCGCAAAACGCCCACCAACCAAACGTGCAATTTGTTGAAACGAACACGCAATTTAGTACTCTTTAATTGGGATCTTAGTAAATCAGGCCCACAGTTGTGTATTGGGATTTGCTCTGCTGGTGCTGTAGGTCCCACTTCATCTTATTTTGATCCTTTGCCTTCTAGGGTCTTCTTGTTTTTAAATGCTGTCACAGTAGCAAACCCTTTATAAATTCGTAGTTTGCTACTTGTCAAATGACTTGAAACCAGTTCCATTGACCTGAGGTACTTCAACTTTCTGCAACAAGTTGTCTTCTCTTTTGTGGTCCCAGTCTGCCCATCTGGTCCAGGTACTCCATTTTTATGTGCATTTAGATTAGAATGCACTGTATTAAGACAAGTCATTAGACCAGAATAATCATTATGACATTATTAAAACTATGATGGGTTTACAACATTTAAAATGATGGAACAATATCACACACTGACTTTGACTGTGGTTATGAAACGGTCAAATTATAGCTGTGAGGCTTTTGTACCATTTAGTTCAACACCTGAGTCAGGGTTTAATAAATATGTAAACATTAAGAATTTAATGCTTTTTACCTACTTTTATGAAAACCACTTTTTGAGGAATATTAATGAACACTGATAATGTTGTGCTTACAGATATAAAACCTTGCTGATTACAGTGTGATTTTAGCCAAGGCTGAAACCAAGGCTGATCCATGGTCTTTAAATTTCAGTGTGTGAACAGATTGGACTATGAGTAGAGGGTAAGACAGAGACAGGCTTGGGCACGTGAGTGGAGTAAGGAAGTACATTGGTTTTTGAAATAATAATGTTATTCTGCCTGCTTCGCTTTGACATGTCCTGATTTAATAAAGTGCCTGAGCTTGTCCTTAGAGCGATGGTTGTCCCAATAAAATGGCTTTGTTTTCTTGCTAAAGGCATCTACTACAAGAGGGAGAGCCGCTAGATGAGGTGGGCGTGGCGACAGAGAAGAGAGGCAGACAGAGACTCTGTGTGTGTGTGTGTGTGTGTGTGTGTGTGTGTGTGTGTGTCTGTATGATGTGTTTGCTTCTGGAGGAATCAATCCAGCTCGAGATGGTGTTTGAGTGACAGTGTTGAGAGGGGGAGGGTGAGTCATTACACTGATAGACTGGCATAGAAGAGGGCACTGCATTCCTTGCTTGCATTATACATGTTTATATTGCAGCTATCCCTGCTCTGCTGATCATGATCATTCATGCACATTGGATCGCCTATTTATGCGTTCAGGTTAATTTGTACCACGATCTTAAACTGTTGATCAGCTAGTTAAAAAGCTTGTTGTGATATACTGTCGGCACAGATCATGTAAACAAAACAGTTTTTTTAAAGAAATTAATCCGAGTTATTATGATTAACAGTAAAATGTATACTGCATTGAAATTGCTAACAGGAGAATCTTTTAAAAATTCCTGAATAATAAAAGAAACTGTTTCAGTAATCAAAAATGATTTCACAGGTTACCAGACACTTTCTTTTGGGATGTCACAGAGATCAATCTTTGTGCTCGGTTATGTTTTATCTTACATGTAAAAGATAATAACCCTAATTTTTGTTAGTTTTTGTTTCAATTTTTAATTTTGCCAAAGATACAACTATGTATCTGGTATTATTAGCCATAAAGAGCTGCAGAAATTAACATGAAATGTTTAACGTTGACACTTGGTTGACATCAATCCAATCACCTGTACTTATTTGACCTTTGCTCCAATGCAGTTAATTCAACAATAAAACAATCAGAGCTATATATTACATATGCATGTGCTTGAAAATGAGAGGACACTTACAGTGAATATTCTGGTGGAACACCCTTGAAGGCGGGCAGGTCACGGACATATTCATTATGGAACCATTTGACTTTGAAGTGAAGATTCATGTATTCAGTGCTCTTGCATAGGCGTTGCTTGTCATGCTCTGTAATGTAGAATAAAACATGATAAGCATATATGGAAGATACAGAATGTACAAAGAAGATAACTCTTAAATAGAAACAACTTGTCTTGTTATACTTTGGAGTCTCACTCATAGGACTCACACACACACACACACACACACACACACACACACACACACACACACAACCGAGAACACAGAAAAGTCTCTTAATAGGCATATGAAAGATTGCGAGAGCAATAGTTGTTTTTAATTGGAAATCTTATCAGCTTTCATTATGTACAGCCTTGGGCGATCAAAGAATAAGGAAAATAAAAGTGAGCCTGTAAAGCCTAGCTCTCTCACAGAGAGAGAAAGCCCTTGAATGACTGCAAACAAACAGCTAAAGTGGATTAATCCTTCATGTCAGATGACATGGCTGCTGAGTCATTTAGTCCAGCTCACAGTAGACATTTGAGAACAATTAAATATTTCCTTAGGATCCCCTGGAGGCCTGATGGATGGTGATGGAGCAAGAGGGGGAGTGAAGAAAGAAGAGATAGCGGGAAAAGAAAGGAGACCACTGAAGTAGAAACAGCGAGAAGGAACTGAGACAAAAGACAAAACACCAAGGGAGAAAGACCAAAAAGTACAACTATTCTACAACTGCAACGCTGGGTAAAGTACATTTGCTCTGCTATATGGCTGTGGATAAAAAAACTGACAAAAGAACAAAGACAAGAAAAAAAAACAGAGAAGAAATAAGCCAGCATGGAGTATCATGGATGGCATCATTTGTTGTAAAATGACAGTACAATACAGGAAACTGTGATTACAACACATGAGACGGAATTTAAGATGTTCACACTGACAATGTCACTGTGTTTTTCTCTGTACATTACATCATAGGTAATTTATACAAAGGTATTAGAGATATGTTGATCAGTAATGACCAACAATCCTTTCCCACAAGCTATGCTGCCCGCATGTTCAACAATGACACCAACCTTTGTCTGCTGATAAGCAGTTGAGCAATTAAAAACCGTCAGGAGAAGTCTGGAAATAGCTGATGGCTTTTCTTACTCTCTTATAAAAAGGTCAGAACTGAACTGAGGAAAATGGTGTTTAAGTTTGCAGCTCCCTTTACTTTGAACAAACAACAAAACAACCTGAAACTTAATAATGCTTTTTAGAGGATGTTGAATAACACATCCGGCAAGTGTGGGCGATCTTGACAAATATTTGCTGTTTTAATTTGTTATTTTGTGTTTTTTTATGTATCTTTATTATATATCTTGTATTGTATTGTTTTGTCTGTATGACTGCTCATTCTTGGTCAGAAACTTTGCTAACTGTGCTGCTGCCTGTCGTGGCCTGGACACTCTTAAAAATACATTTTAAAAATCAATGAGGTTTTCCTGGATTAATAAAGCTTGGATGGAAACAAAAATGTAATTTGCCATACACAGGAGAATGACATCTGGAAGATTGCATTAGATTTATTTTTGTGAAGAGGAAATAAGGACACTTTCTCGAACAGACACATTTTGTCGAGAAAAGATCCATACATTCACGTCACATCAAAGACTTCTTTAAATCCACACATTGCATCCTGGCTGCCATGCCTTAATCCTGATGAAAGCTTGTGCTTACTGTGATGAATAGCGCAACGCCTGCCAGCCTACACTCCTTTCCAAGCTTTGAGGAAAATATTTACATATGTGTCATTACCATAATTACCTGTGGATAATGAATTCAAATGCACAATGCAATATTTACCCCTCAGAATGGAGAAGATACGGAGCACTCAAGTCAAGTCAGTCTCTTATGAAGTCACTGCTGCTCATTTTAAACCTGCTTTTGAAAGTGACTAGCAGTGCACTTAAGAACTCTATTTGAATAATAATGTCATATACAACACAACCTTATTATTCAGATAAATGTGAATTGACCCCTGAGGTCATGTAGAACTAGGGTGATTTCATGTAACATGGTAAAAATGTATTTGCAATTATGTAAATCTTATGTCTAAAGGCTTGATAAGTGTTTTATTTTGAAGGGACTGCACAGCCAGATGAAACACAGCAGTGCTTCAGCACATTGCATGGAAAGATTTGAAACTGTATCTCCTGAGAAAATGTCAGTATAACAGTAACAGTACGTAGGTGAGAAGATAAATACTGTATAGGAACAAGTGGATAGTTGCCATGGTCACCATAGTTAAACACATGCTGTATGTACAGAGTGACAGAAATAGGACCTTGATTAGCAGAAAATCACAGTACTGACGAAAGCAACTGTGGTCACAGTTTCTGTAGAAAACGTTTTGCAAAAACTGCACAGATAGAATCTCATGAAAGTCCCTGAGAGGAGTTTTTAGCTGATTGTAAATCAGATGGACTTTAAGACTGATGTATCTATAAAATGTCTAAGCAAGACCATCAGAGGGAAGATACATGATTTCTATATTATAATTTTAATGATTTAAATTGCAGCCAGGGGTTTTTGTCAGATGAGGTGATTAACGCACTGAAAAGAACTATTAAAAATGTACAGATAAGAGCAGCAAAAAGATCATTTGTACTGCTTTTTCCACAGGGGGCACCAACATAGTCACAAATCGAAAGTTTCTCACAGGAGCTTTAACTCTCCTATAATACAAAAATAAAAGTATATTTCATGTTGCCCAGTGTTCCATCTACTTAAATCATTTCTATGTTCCTAGAGTAAATGTTTGAGGTGGAGTTGGTTCAAAGTACATGGGGGCCAAACCATAGAAGCGTTTTAAGATTTGCTATGTCCTGCCGATAACTGATATGAAAACAGCACACTGATGCCATCACCTTGCAGTTATTTTCTTTTGAAGCAGAACACAGAAAATTGTAGGGATCAGTGCTTTCATCTACACCCCACCTTCACAGCCAAAGTAGTTGCGTTGGCTACAATTTTGAAGGGTTTTAAACTCTCACCTGGATTCATCTGGTCAGTTTAAGTCGCAGGAGGAGCAGGTGCTTGAAACATAATATTGAGTTAAGGCTGTTACACTGCAGTCATTGTGTCGTAGTGGCTGTGTAGTAGCTGAGTAGAGGGAATCCGTTGTGGCAGTGCCACTTTAATAACTGACTCTCTCACTCTTGTTACACACAGGATAGACAGACACACACTTGCACACACACGATCACAGTTTGTCAACCTTTCAGCACTCTGACTGCAAAGACACACACACATCCTCACCGTCACACACTCAGAGTCACCTAAAGAAAGCAGATGGAGGTCAGAAAAGTAACAGGTCAGCAGGTGTTTCGTTTGGTGCTGCCAGCCAGGTTCTGCTGGCTAGCAATGTTTTGCAGGATGTATGTGTGTGTGTGTGTGTGTGTGTGTGTGTGTGTGTGTGTGTGTGTGTGTGTGTGTGTGTGTGTGTGTGTGTGTGTGTGTGTGTGTGTGTGTGTGTGTGTGTGTGCTCATGAGATCCACTTAAGAATACCTATACAGTGTAAGGTTTCAAGGACATAAACCCCATACTTTCTATCGAAAAATATAAATTGCAATGTGACATGCGGCCAGATAAGTAAGTTCAGTAAAGATCGGCCTAGAACATGTTTATATATATTGTTTACAAGTGGGAGTCATTGCCTTACAGACACAAGAAGAAAGTTCAGGGTCCCAAAGATACTAGAAGCTTAAATATTAAAATGTATTACTCGTACAATCTTAACTCAGCCTACTGATGCATTTGTTAAATGTTTTATAACACACAAGTCAATATCAGTTCCACCTGCATTCACTTCCTGACGTAAATGATTGTGCCAGCCAAATATACAGGAATTACATTCTTTTTTCTAGGAGTTAAAGGAGCATCATGTTCTTAGAAAATGATTTTTCTTTCAAAATTCTTCCATTTGGGAGGCAAAAAGCTCATATCCTCTCTCTGGAAAATGGAAGCACTGATGGCCGAAATGCATTTCTTGTAGACTCTGAATGAAAGCAAAAAGGATGTAAGCTTCCATTCACTGGGCCCAATGTGATTGTTTGAACAGAGGAAGAGAATCTGAAGGGAAAAAGGCCGTAGGGGGCAGTGTTAGAAAAGATACTGCTACAAAACATACAGAAGGTGCCCGACTTGGAAATGAGTCATCAGGTTCTTTTTTAGAGAATGCTTTAAATATTTTATATCTAAGAATTCAAGCTTAAAATGTTGGAGGCAACTGACATTTTTAGTGTTTTCCAAATTTAGTCTGGGCCTTCTCAAACATTTATTTAAAGGCTGCTGAACCTCTGCTGAAGATGATTCATTTATCATTCATTTTCAGTTTAAGAAGAAAGAAGAATGATTTTGTCAGATTTTTAAGTGGTCATCTGTGTCGACAAAACAAAGGCTAATGTGTTAGAGAATGACAGACCTTCCTACACATGGTTCATTAGTTTGTTTAAACAATAAGAGTACACAAAATAAGGCAGAGGGGGTAAAGAGGGAGCAGGAGGGGATGCAGGAATGGCAGAAAAGGAAGAAAGATCGATTCATTTTCACTTATGATTGGCGCTGTGTATGCAAATGTGGCCTCTCATGACTTGCCTTGTTTTGTCGCATGACACGATACATTCAAAATAAAAAGCATGAACTAAACTGTGTACATGTGGACAAGTGTAAAGGTGGGCTACTCTTGAAGTGTCACATGGACTGGAGTCAGAGTGCTGCAATGTGTTGCTTTACTGACCTTGAACTATGCTTTGAAGAGGAACACAACAACAGCGGTGGTATGTAAATAAAGTAGCACAGAAAAACAATGTGTGACCCTGGGAAAACTGGATCTTTGCCTACAGTATTCCTTCAGCGTTTACATCGAAAGACCAGCTCTAAATGTAATGTTATTTTTTGTTTAGTAAAAATGGGGGTTAAGGGAATCTCCCAATTAAATGACTGAGAAAACAAGGCTCCACCTTTGGAGTTTTTCTTTTTGAGCCTTTAGTAATTCTTATTATCATTTATGTATAATGACATAACTGACAGTGACATGAGCCTGTTTAAAGGGATGACTTTCTGT